ATCATCTGGCTTCCTACATCTTAAGTTTTTCAAGCAACTTGTTTTTGTTTGCCCAGAGCCATAACTTTCCAAGAAAATATCACAAAATTATCCAAGCTGGATATTCCGTAAAAAATTGATTCATCCTGCGGAAATGAGTGAATACAAACACTTTTTACTGGCGACTTTACTGGTGCTCTCGATCAAACAATAATTAAGGACTACTTGCATAAAAGTAAAATTTATTTCTTAAGGAAAGAAGGGAGATTTAATTGTTTTCGTGCACCAACACATGGTCGCTGCGACTTAACATCAGTGACACATATAAATAAATACCCGTTACTAGTTTTTAGCTGTTTTCGCAATTGCTTTGCTTGCACATTTTTGCGTAGCAGCGAGTTTACGAGCGTTGTGATAAAGCCGCGTTAAACTTAATCAAACAATTTATAGTCACAAAACAGATGCTCGTTTTTTGCCTGTGTACGAAGCTTGCCGAACGCTTTGCCCTTGCACAGCACCCATTCCTGCAACTAAATCACCTTCCCTACTTTTCTTAGGAGTTGCTTAAATAGCGCACTCTTTCTCGCAACATTTACGAATGTTATTGTGTATGTGTTTTGGTTTTGCGTTTGGGGTTATCTATAGTTGGTTCTATAAATCTCATCCACCATAATCATGCTATAACCACTATCTGTAAATATGTATGAGGTCAATCAGGTAGTAAACAAAAATTGATCTTGCATGTACGGCTTCAGCAGGCTTCTTGACTAGCTCTGGGATTAATTTGCTTCTACAGTATGTAGCCTGCGTAACAAGTAGTTCCCACGTGAGTGAAGGAATGAATGAATTTTGAAATTTAAAACTCTAGTATTATAAAACTTTGTAAAAAATATTTTCTTCAAACCAAGGAAACTAAAGTTTTTTGTTGTTGTTATTGTTTGTTTGTTTGTTTTTTTGCCTAAAATGTTCCCACGAACACTTCTTTTTGTCAAACTTGCCATGGCAGTAAGGTAAAGATCAACTTTTGCTAGAAAGACGAAAAAAGTGGCGGGTCACCGTGCTCATTTTCGAGGTAAGGCGCATTGAAGACCATGCGATATTTCGATATTTCAAGTCGATCTTAACTTACAACAAGCAACGATAAAAGAACCTACATTAGTAAAATTTAGATGAGGTAAACGTATTCAATGCATCACAACTGTCTGTTAAGTAAACTTTTCAGCTGATGCCGTTCTTTGAGATAGAATAACCTTAGCAAGAATACATATTAGTCATGCCCATCCACATTTGAAGAAAACTTCAGTCCCTCTAGAGCAGAAAAGGCGAAATATTTTAAACTTCTCACGTACAGATTTTTTTCTTTTTCTTTTTTTGTTTTTTTTGTTAAAATAGAGAAAATCCCGAAAGGAAGTGATCTATGAATTGAAAAGAGGGGGTCACCGACCATTTCAGAGAAGAAATTACGGGTGAAGTTAGCGTACCCTGTGCCAGGCCCTATACTAGCTTATATTTCTTCCTCAGCGAGCGCGCTTGTTGTATGGTTTCGAGCGTCAAAGCCGTGTTAAAACTTAATCAATCTATTTAAAGTCAGAAAATAGGTCCTGTTTTCTTTGCCTCTGTACGAAGCATGTCAAAAGCTCCCTCCTAGTACAGCACCCATGTAATAGAGCCGAACGATTTCTCACCAGACTTCTGGCCGCGCGAAAATCGAGGCGACAGTCGAAACGCCTAGTGCGCAGGCTACTTCTAGTATTACTATTGTTCTTCTTAAAATTTGACCAAAGCTTAATGGCCTCGTCTGTACCAGAACGATTTCTCAGGAAACTTCAGGGTTTCCATCACCATCCGGGTAGGCTTCCTCTCCTACTGTGATTAAACAACTGACGCACGGAGCTCAGGAATCCATTGTTACCCGAAGACCCCTGGCTTTTTTGCCGGGTCTTTTTCGTGAATCTGACCTGGAAGACCATATTGAAAAACACGATTTGAACATTTCTGTTGGTCAGAGCAGAAGTCTCATAATACGAGCAGGCAAACTCGCTAGCCGTCTCTCTGGCTTCCTCTTTGCTGACACTTCTTCCTCGCCGGAGATCTTTTTTATTTCCCACCAGTATAACGGGCACCTGGCATTCTCCTTCCGGCTTTCTGACCTCCTTGATGAGTTTGATCATTTGCCTCGCCACCTCAAAGCTGTAATGATCGTTAATCGAGTACACCACAATAAATCCCTCGCCATTCCTTATATAAGAAGCTTCGGCCTGT